GTTAAGAAAATATCCGGAGGTATTCCCTATAATGACTCTTGACGAAAGAAATCACAAATAACCATCATTCTTCCATGAAAACTGCACAAGATCTTACGATGTAGTGTTTGATTAATTCACGCCGTCCATTCTCTAAAGAGAAGAAGACGGCAGACAGTAACATGTTTCTTTAACGAATGTATCTTTCTGTAGACAGCCGCGAAGCTATGCCACCGCTATATGTGACATTCGTATAAACATGTATGTTTGTAGGACAGTCACTGACTGTTAAGTTCGTCATTCGATTGTCTGCTCGCTTGCCAACACAGCATTTTGCCATGGCGTTGGCAGTTTTACGAGGTGTTAACCGTTTACTTCCTCATTTAGGTACTCTTTTTGGCGTCTGTTGCTGTTAATATGTCGGTTAGCATAATGTTCTTTAGAACGTACGGCTGTGCGCGGCGTTGCCGGAGCTGCGACTGACAAAGCCAGCTGTTACAGTAAGAAGCTGAAGTCACATCGTATGTCTACCGTGACGTTTTAGAGTACGTCGGTGAAATGACGGAAGGTGATTCATTGACAGAGCAGCTGGATCGCGGTTTCAATTGGATGCTAATGACGGAACTTATCCGTGGTAAGTATGCCCCAGTGAACATAAAAGGTCGTTCCATCGGCAGTTTATGCTAAATGAAATGTGGTTATAGTATTCTATTTTTAGAGTACTTTTTTGTCCGTTCTAATCTTCATTCAGTGTTACGTATAAGTTATGCATTTTAACTTCTTTTACTGTTCTCTTAATTTCTACTTTTCGTGATTTTCACCCATCCACAACCTACGGTATTGTATAACATTTGTTTTACTTTAATTTAAGCATTGCTAATAGTCTGTATATTGTGAAATATGTTGGTAGAAATTGAGTCATTCGCTAGGTTCCTTGAGTGATTATGTGTCGGCGGTTATTTACGAATGGCACGTTGGTGGAAAGTAAACAAACCTGTGGTTTGACGAATTCTTGTATAGATAATAATGTGCAAATGAAGAATTAGGAAAGAAGAATTTGAAGCGAGAAGGAAGTGAAAATGACAGAAGGGGGAAGAGATTGAAGAATTAGGGATGGTAGAACGATTGAAGAAAGGAGAAAGCATATGAGTGGGACACGAAGAAAGAAAATGAAGACAGTAGGAAGTAAAGCAGGAATTGAGTAGCTAGGGATCGAATAAAATAATGATGAATTGAGACAAAACCGTAAATAAGGATGAGAGAAAGCGCCTGGGAACTGAAGAAGACAGAAAGTAAGAAGGTGGAAAAGGTGCTAAATTTAGAAAAGAATAATTGAGAAACAATTGAAGAAAGGGTAATGGGACTGAAGAAAAAAGTAAGAAAGGAAGTGAGTATATGAGGAATTGCGAAGAAGAACGGAACAAAAGCTGAAGTGAAAGAAAGAGGTAATGACAGAAATAAGGAAGACAGTAACTGAGGAGGGAACGAAATAGGGTAGGAAACGGGAGGAGGCTAACGAGGTAAAGAAATAATTACACGATTGACGGTGAAATGATTACATGAAAGGGCGAGGGGGAATTGCGAAAAATAAAGATGAACGGAACGAATTGAAGAATATAGGAGGAAAAAATGGAAATGATAATTAGGTTGAAACGCAGAAAAGTTAAAATCGGAGGAAAGGATTAAAGGAAGTTAGGGCTTGAAGAAGGAACTGGGAGAAATTTATATACCGGTGATAAATAGAAGAGATTAGGGAAGTGTAGCTGGAGATGAGAATTGAAAGTTGAAAATTAAGTGAAGGGAATTTAGGAAAATTATGAATTTAAAGAAGGAAGAATTAGGAGAGGAAATGATATCAACAGCAAGTAAATGTGGAATTGAGCAACATGAAGTGGAAGGGATGGATCTATAAAGATGGAAGGAGAGGAAGAAAGCGATGTCTACGAGTGGAGGGAGTCTTGATGAAAAAGGAAAGAAGAAATCAGCTGAGGATAGCAAGGAGGTAGGAGATGATAAATAGAGAATGTCCTTTTAACGTAAGGAAGATGGTCATTAATGAAGAAGGAAAAATCGACCAAAAGTTAAGGAAGTAGTAGAGAAGAAAAGAGAAGAACGAATTGAGGTAGAATAGGAATAAGCTGACCAAAGATGACAAAATAACGATTAAAAGAATGAGAGTAAGAAATTAGAAACTGTTAAAGGAATGGAGGAAGTATTAGTTCAAGAAAGGAGTTCAATACTACAATGAATTGATGAACAAAAAATTTAAGCAAAATGAAAGCAGCAATTGAAACTCAGTATTTTTATCACTGTTACTGCTGAGGGGGGGGTACATATTTTTAACATTTTCGCCCTCATTTTATGTTTCTGCTTTTGTGATAAACCGTTGCTCATGCTCTCTTTCAGCGATGGTACATGTTACTGGCCAAGGGCTTCGATATCCAGCGACGATCAACTATCCTTTCGAGAAAGGTCCACTTAGCCCAAGATTTCGGGGTGAACATGTATTAAGACGATATCCGTCTGGTGAAGAGCGGTGTATTGCATGTAAACTATGTGAAGCGATTTGTCCAGCTCAGGTAAATGGTTTATTGTTAAATTTGATCATCATAACTTGCCTCTTCGGAAACTGTCTCTCAGTGGAACTCGGCGTAATATGCATTAATCAAGGTTATTTCTTTCGAAGGCTGTGCTGATGTCAGTATATGGGTTTTTATGAGCAAGCATACACTGAAATCTTCATCCAGTTGCTGACTACCGATGGCCATCCGTACTGCCGTTCATGAAATAGGTTCTCATCATAGCATTATCCATCTTCTGACTGGATGAAAGATGACAGTTCGATGTCTAGTCATTCTCCCTGAATCGTTTCTGCACCAGCTTATGCGTATTTTGACAGAGAGGTAATTAGGGTTCATTTGGTTAAGAACGTGTAAGAGGCTGTGAAATGAATCCTTCTGCTCTGACTCCTGTAGCATTATCTTTTATTAGAGTGTTGTCATCGGTTTTGGCTGTTGGTTTAGATACAATCCTCGTGCTAAACTGCAGAAGAACCTCCCCTATGTCTCAAAATATACACCCCTTTAGGACACGGTTAGGAAATGCAATTTATTAGATTAAAAATTTAAACTCTCCGCGGTTGTTCACTTGACGTCTTTTAACAACAATTGACCGAGTGTTTCGATTGACCAAAATAGGTCTCTGACAGATCTGGCGAAGTCGTCCAAAACTGCTTTGTCGTCCTACGGCAGAGGCTTGCGCTCCGTGTGATTTCCTTTACTGTAGAGTTGGGGCAACTAAAGATCGTTGTAACAGTCCAAAGGTTAAGGAACACGCACAGTTTCAAATCGTTATATTCTGTCTTGTTCAGTCCTTCTGAGCGAGAGATGTTAGACTCTTTTTCGCTCATGATCGCTTATGTTTATGTACTTATTTAGGCAATTACGATCGAAGCCGAAGAACGTCCTGACGGTAGCCGTCGCACGATCCGTTATGATATCGACATGTGCAAATGCATTTACTGTGGCTTGTGCCAAGAAGCGTGTCCTGTGGATGCAATAGTCGAGGTTCAACTGTTAACCTTCTTTGTTTCTGACATGCTAATGGTCTGTTTTTTCAGGGTCCCAACTTTGAGTTTTCGACCGAAACCCGTGAAGAACTGATGTACAACAAAGAGAAGCTCTTGAACAACGGCGACATATGGGAAGTGGAGATTGCTGCCAACATGCAAGCTGACTATCTCTATCGGTGATAAATGAATGTTTTTAACTTTGTCCTTGTCAATTTTTCGGTACTGTATTTTCTTTAATGATTTAAGTAGTGTTGTAAACGGTGTTTAAACAATGTTTAAATGTGTTTTGGAATTGGGGAGAACGATACCTTAATAACGTTATATAGACTAGAGATTTGATAATCGTCGTCTGGCCTAAAATGCTCAGTAATGGATGTTCGTGTTAAAAGAGGCGCAGAGCTATCAACCGATCATTACCTTGTTGTTGGCACGCTGCGCTGTAAGAAATGGAATACCATACGAAGATCCGGTGGCAGAAGCAACCGGAGAATCAAATGGGAAACATTGTCTTCGGTGGACACAAGAGCGAAATTTGCGAACAACATCGCACGACGGTTTGAACAGATCCTGTGACGACAACTGATGTCGAAACCGATTGGCAGCTCTTTAAGAGCGGTAAACTTGACGCTGCCGTCGAATGTTGCTGATATAAACGGGTTGGCCTGCCGCCTGGAGGTCAGAAAAGATCTTCATAGTGGACACGAGAGGTACAACT